CCAGCGTGACCGAAGGAGGCTGTGTTTGGAGGCTGTGCCATAGGAACCAGGAGAAGCATGCTCCTTGCAGAGCTGCCCGTGTTCCCCTGCTTCATTTGGAGCCAGGAAGGAGGACTGCCCAATTTCTCACACCTTCCAGGTTGGTTTTCCAGCATTCTCTGGGGGATTTTACCTCTTTCTTTCTCAGTATCTGAAGTTCTGAACTCTTTGAACCTGCTGTGTCAATCCCCAGCTGCCTGCAGCAGCACTTCTCCATGGCCTCGCCTTGCTCTACTCCTGAACCCACTGTGGGGACACAGAAGTCACGTCTGTCAGAATCCCCTTCTGCTCTACTGCTTCTCAGAATCCCAGCCGTGCGCACCAAGCACTGTCTGCCTGCAGGCCCTTGCTCCTCCTTACTGCACAGGCAGAGCAGCAAGCCTACACGCACCCCAAAGTTGCTTTACAATTGGGAATGATCAATCTCACAGCATCACAGCTGCTGCTCATACTGCTGGCCTTGTCCCCTCACTGACAGTGGCTGCAAGGAAGAGTTTTTAAATCCAGCAACCTCGTTTACAGCTCAGAACAGCAACAAACAGCAGAGCAGTAAGGAAAACAACAACTGGAACACTGAAAAATGAGGGGCTGAGCGGGGGGCAGGCTTGCGTGCAGCAGCATTGGCAGAAGAGGTGCAGTGAAAACCTTCTGCCTTGTACCAAGCCCTCGCCTGGGAGTTCAGCTGAATGCAAACACAGGGACTGCAGCGAGCAGCAACATGGAACCCAACAAACATTACTCATTGCAGCTTTCTCCAAGGTAGACAGGGAACAAAAGGCAAAATCAGAGCTTCTACTTGCTAGCTGATGCAATCTCTCTAGGAGAGAGGAAAGCTGTGCCTTGGCCACATTTTATGACTGATCTATTTGGCTCTTCAACTGAACCAACTGATACAACGGAATTAGTCAAAAACAAACAAATTCAACCCCAGCATACAAGTTTTGCTGGGGGTCTTTTCAGACTCCTAATTAAGGAGCTCTGTTTAAGAGCAACACCTTTAGATCAACAAGGAGGAGCTGGCAGCACAAACACTAAGTACTGTATGGCCCCAAGGCCCCAGCACCTCTCCTGCACAACCTCGTAAACCTCCAGCCATGCACACCAAGCAGCACAGCAAGAAGTGCAGACCCTAAGCCAAGGCTGTGGGGTGTTCGATCAGACACCTCGCAGTGCCAAGTCTGCCTAAGCACTGCCAATCAGATAAACTGCACTCAATTTTTAGGAGCCAATCTCAGGCTAGAGGAATTACTTCCTTTAGCTAGCCCTGAGGTGGAGAAAAAAAAGCTGCAAGAAGAACTCTATTGGCTTTTAGCTGCCTGGTAAATGCTGTAACAAGAAAGCCCAATGACCTACATTGACAAGCCTCTGTACTATACCACTATTACAAAATCCAATATAAAGCCCAACCACGTTTAAGTGTTTTCCATTAGCAAGCAGACTATCCTGTTAAATATGAAAACGTGTTATTGTCTTTAGCAATGATCTTACTTAATCCACTAGACAACATTCCCCAGGGTGCTGTGCCGATCATTTCGGACTGTTTAAGTTCCCAATATTATACAAGGACCCCCAAACCTTTGCTTTACACTTGTGTAATGGGATGTTGACAGAAACAGGAACTTTCTACACATCCTCAAACTGTGCTGCAAAACCAAATTCTTGGTTTCCATCTCTGATGCTTGTTAGACAATTGAAAGAAATGCACGAGTGCCTAAACCCAATTTAGTTCCAGTACAATGTCACCCTGTTAAAACATTGCTGAAATATTTCCTCACATAAAAACAACAGCTCTCAGCCGGCAAGTTCAATAACCTGAAGCAGATGTCATGAGGCGTCCTGAAAAAGACATGAAGTCCAAACCTAACATGGCAAATAGCTCAAAAAACGGGTGTCTGATCACTGGATACAGCCCATTCTGTGCATGTTTAAAAGAAATACTGAGGTAGCCATTCCCTGTGCACCCATGTAGTTGCAAAGGTCTGACACACTGATCTCCAGTGCACATGAGTAGCTTCCAAACATCAGGAGAAATGCTCTACTAAGAAATAAAAAATAAAATAAGAACCAAATAATTAATAAGGAACATTCAATAATACATTAAGGAGGAAGTTTTTCACACAGAAGATGACACACTGGAACAGGTTGCCCAAGGAGGCTGTGGATGCCCCATGGAGGCATTCAAGGCCAGGCTGGATGTGGCTCTGGGCAGCCTGGTCTGCTGGTTGGCGACCTGCACACAGCAGGGGGTTGGAACTGGATGAGGACTGTGGTCCTTTTCAACACAGGCCGTTCTATGCTTAAAAAGAAGCTACTGCTCAAAATAAGCAGTTTATGGTCAAAAAGGGAAAAAAAGAGAAAGATTTTGGGACAAATTCAAGCTGAGATTCTCAAAGGCATAAAAGGGCCATTAAAAGCCTACTGGCTGAGAAAAATGTAGCTGCCCATGGTACCTTCAGGAGCCCACATCTCCACAGCCAGGGCTGATGTCACGGCCTGCTGGGCGCACCCAAGGTTGTTAGTGATGGTAGCTGCGTAAAGCAGACTTTTGTCATCAACGCTGAAAAATTGGCAAAACAAAGAGGAAAGGAAATAGGAATGTTCCTCTCTCAGTTTACTAACAACTATCTCACCCTAAATGCAGAAAAAAATAAGTCCATGTAAAAATCACTGCCTTTCAGCTTCCCTGAAAAGATACTACAGTTGAGGAGGCTTAAAAGAAGGTTTTATTTATCTGAAGAGCACAGCAAGAACACGGATACAAAGCTAGTGTCAAATTAACATGGAAGTACAAAGAGGAGCCTGATTCGCTGGGACTGAATTGTGAAGGGACTACACATTCATCTCAGAGTACATAAAGCCTCACATCACTCTGCAGCACTCATTTGATAGCTCCAAGTACAGATTTAAGTTAAGCAAGCTGCAGGCATCCTTTGTAAACCAGGAAGACAGTTGCTACAATACACAGGTTGAAAGAAACATACAGAAAAACAAACACAACCAGGAAAATAAACTCTTAAGTCCAAACGCTATTGTAACTCTCCTCTGAGGAAATCCATGCACCTGCCCACAAGAGACAGGGGGCACTTCATTGCCATTCTCCTTGTTTAAAATGGGAAATTTGGTTCTGCGCACAGTCCACACTCACACGAGCTAGATTCCCCATTTGTACATTTTCACTCGAGATAAGGCCCTACAATATTCAAGCTACTGAGCAGACGACCTGTTGGAGACAGTAAGTGAAGCAAGTGAAAAGCAAACCTTAGCAAAGGAGGTGAGGGCAGACAGCAGCACCCACCTGCAGGCTCTCCCCAGGGCGCAGGAAGCCACCACCATGGACAGCTCAGGCACGGCGTCCCAAAGGAGCCCCTCAACCAGCACCCAGCTCCAGACGCCGACCTGCACGAGGCTGCTTCTGCCACAAGGTGAGCTAAGGTTCCTACTTTACGTGTGGTTCCATATGTAGCCATACACATGCACACACGTGGTTCAAGCAGAGCATGCGGAATTGCTGTGGAGGAATCCCAATGCCACAGCTTCCAAACCCAGACCTGCAATGATGACAGCTGGGGGATGTTTACAAACAAAGTATTTCCAGCAGCCTAGCTAGGAGACCACAGATCTTTAAAGTCGATACCTTAGTGCAATAGTGAGAAATATTGAAGGAGCAGCACTCAAAACAAATTCTTGTCTTCTACCACCAAGTACTGGATGCTAACAAGGATCTGATACCATACTACAGCAACACGTGCTCTGACACTATACAGAAAGTGCCATTTTCCAATTTCTAAAAGGCTCCAATGCTCAATTCCAGGCCAGAGAGGAGCCCAACACCTGAAAGAGGATACAGACTTCTGCTGAGTGCTTCCAACCAGTGGCTCGACCGCCCACAGCATCAGCCATAAGGGCAGGTGCCTGACATGGAGCTGACACTGCATCCTGACCAACAGAAAGGCCTCTAGCTTCTATAACACCAGCTAGGCTAGCAGCTTTTTTTTTTTTTTTTTTTTTGGCTACATAAGTGCATGTCATAAGCCCTAACATACATAATGCTCTGCCAAAAAAACAAGATAAAACAAAGCAAGTCACACACACAGCAGTTTCAACATCCAAGTTTGTTATTTCAGAAAGGCTGCCTACACTGACCCAATTGTGCTTCAGCTGTACCGAGAACTTGCTTGAACACAGTTCACTAACAGTGTCACGTTTTATTAGTTTGGATCATCAAAGTTATTTCAAAGGGAAAGAACAAGTGGATTTCAAAGTTACGAGAGGAATGCCATCGTTCTCATCATCATACTGACAAACAGCAAGCAGCTTCCAGGGCGAAGCTCACCGTGCTATAGAGGACAGCCTCACACCGAGGCTACGGATCCTCCTGGCAACAGCTGTGAGCAAGTTCAACACCCAAAGAGAAATGAATGAGCTACACGGTTCAAAAAGTAGTCACTTTCGGCCAACAAACACCAATCATTTCTGAAAAGTTAATCGTTTTCACGCTTTAAAGCCCTGTGCCTATAGGAGCCACCAGGAAAATCCCGTCTCTGCACCGCTTCCCCGAAAGAAGCAAACACAGAAGCGGGGACACGATGCGGTAAGAACCGAGATGCAACAGGGCTTTTTCTCTTCCATCACGGTGAGAGGCGGCTCGGGGCTCCCGCACGCCGTTCCGTGCCACCCAACGCACGGGGCGCCGACGCTGGGTCTCAGGCAGGGCAGCAGCAGCACCCGCCGAGCTCGGCGCTCTGCTCGTCGCAGGGCTGCGCGTATTTCCCGCGAGGCTTTCAAAGCCGCTCCTCGGCCACCTGCGGGGCTCCGCGGCGCCGCTCCGCTCCAGCGCAGCCCAGAGACGTCGTGCTGGTCTGGTCCGGCCCGCAGCCCTGGAGCCGAGCCGCAGCCCAGGCCCGAGCGGCGCCGCAGGCCCCGTGCCCGCAACCCGCCCCCCGACCCCCCTCCGCCCCTACCTGGCCGCAGCGGCTCGGTGATGCTCAGCACCAGGAGGAAGAGGAGGAGGAAGGTGCCGCTGTCCGCTTTGGGCACCATTTATCCTCCGTTCATCCTCCCCCGGCGCAGCGCCACAAACCCGCGGGGAGCGAAGCGCGGGGCGACGCTCGGCGGGAGGAGGAGGAGGTGGAGGAAGAGGAGGAGGTGGAGGCACGGCCGCCGGACGATCCCGTCCGCGCCGAGCTCTTCCCCGCCCCGTCCGCCGCCGCCCCCGGGCGGGAGCCAGCGGCCCTGGCTGCGGCGGCGGCTGCGGGCGCGGGGGTAGCGCGGGGGTCGGGCGGCGCCACGCTGCGGGCCGCTCGCCTGGCTCCGGCGACGCACAAGATGGCGGCCGCACCTCCCCGCCGCCTTCCCCCGCGCCGCCACGCCCCCCTCCCTCCGGCGCAGCTCTCGACCAATCGGCGGCGCGGTGGGCGGGGCTCGGCGCCCCCCTCCTTGTAAGTCCCGCCCCCGGGGTCGGAGGCTGAGGGGCGCGCCGTCGGGGCCTCGAGCTACGGGAGGCTGCGCTGGGGGGTTCGCGTCGGGATGGACGGGCTTTGCTCCTAGGTGGTGCGGTTTTTTCCAAATATTTTTTAAAACGGTGGTGAAATCGAGAGCTGAGATTTGATTAAAACACGCAACTCGACGTTTTCCAGTCGTAGGCGGCGGTTCCAAGGTCACCAATAAAAGGCTGTCAGTGCCCCCCCGGTCCCCGCTGCCACCCCTCCAGCCACGCTCAGCTCAGCGCGTGCCCTCTCCCCAGCCCCGCGTCCCGCACCCCGCTCCTGCTACCCCTTTCTCTAACTGCACCCGGCCCTTCCTCCCCCTTCCTGGCTGCTCCTGCCCGCACACAGCAGGCAAAGTAGCGCTGAGAGAAAATAAATCAAACCCCGCTATAGCCCAGGTGGGTTTTCGCATTGGATTTGGCCGTCTAAGGTGCTGTTTTGGCAAAGAGTTCTGGCAGCTCCATTGCGGATAGCAAGGGTGCACAACTGCAGGAAGCAGAGCCCTGACATCAAAGCAGCCCTGCAAGAACGGCCTGGCTGCAAAGCTCTTCCCAGAGCCAGCTTTAGAGCATTTCCCTGGAAATAAATTACAGCTCTGACAAACGCCCTTCAATCCATCAGAACCAAGGCTTCTGATTTCAGGTTAACTCACTCGAGGGAAGACAGGACCAGCACCGTCCCGTGCCTCAAGGTAGTTTATGCAATCAGCTTTTAAGCACGGATTGCACAACACCAAACTAACCATTCTCAGACACGGCTCTATCTGTGCTGTTCTGTGAGCCAGCCACATCCTGGTACGAGCACAGCTCCTCAGAAATTCCAGGATGCATCCAGCCAGGAAGGCTGAGAACTGAAACGCTTCTGTATGCACATCACCCATCAAGCAGGGCCTCTGAGTAGAGGCAACCAATTCGTACTGGCTTGCACTGCAGGCAGAGCAACATAGAGCAGAGCCTTCAGCACACCCTAGCATAGATGTGAACACCTCCCGGGGACAAGCAGATTGTGGGAACATTGTGAAATAAACCTTTTACCTAAAAGTTTCAGAGCTGTTTACCCAGGTTGGTCTTTAAGGAATATCACTGAAAACACGGACACATCAGTAAATAGATGTTCTTTATATTCATCCATCAGCATCTGAGAATAGGTTGGTTGTTTCTTCCTTTTGCCTGAAGAAAAAAACTGAGCCCTTGGTTACCTCCACACTAAAAAAAGCAAAACCTTTTCGTTTCATGCACTCACAAACCCCAGCGACGTCGTATCACTCAATTTATTCTCACAAGTTGTGCTATAAAAGTCACTTGGAAAGGTCACAGCCAGGGACAGGTGCTGTGGAAGTGGCAGTGGAAACCGCACAGGAGGAAGCTCTCCACCAAGGCAAAAACAGCCCCAAACACCCTCAGCCTTACAGAAATCCGCAGGCACTGCTCAAAGAGCTGCATAAATATTTCCATGGATATTCCCTGCGGAGAACGTCGTGTGATTACAGCAAAGCTCTGGGCTGCCAAGTGTTACACAGGCTGCCCAGTGTTCTGCAGGCTGCCCTGTGCCCAGGCGTGGTGCAAGCAGTGTACTCAGCTGGCTGTGCCTTCCTGCCAGCAGGGCTCAGCTTGCACCCAGAGGTCAGCCTGTACTGCAACAACCACAGCTCAGAACGGTTAAAACTGTTCTTCGTCTTTCTGGCTAATTATAAAAAATAGCTACAAGCTTCAAAGACGGGGGGGAGAATAATAATCAAAAGTCCCAGTCTGGCGATCAGAATGTTTGTCAGAATGACATTGGTGGGCTGTGCAGGATTGTCCCCAGCCCCTGCGTTCTCATCGTTAAGGCTTTGAAGTCATACACTTGGGAGCTGAAAAACTACGTTTGAAAAAGCAGAAACCAACATAAAGCAAAAAGCCCCCGAGGCCGATTACAGTGAAGCAATCAGCACACACATAAACCACCATCCTCCCATCAGTTCCAAAGAAGTGATGTTGTGAGCTCTTCTCAAGTAAAGCAGAAGCTGGAAGTCAAAATGCAACTTACTCAATGAGTAAGGGTTTAAGAAAATAACAGCTGCCAAACCCACAGGAAGCAGCCAATCATCAGAGCTACGAAACGGAGGGGCTGAAAGAGAACCAAGGAAAGAAAGTTAAGGGAAAGCACCAAGCGAATAGAAACAAACAGTTCTTGAACGCAGCCACTGCGAAAACAAAACAAACAAACAAAAAAACCAGCATCCTTTGCTCCCCAGCACCTTCAGGAGCTCCTTCATGTAGCACTTAACCCTGTGTGCCTCCTGAGATACAAACATGAACAATTAAACAACTTCAGAAAGGTTTCAAAACACGAATGCAATAACAAACTCAGATAAATCGTTGTGCTTGAACATAAAGCCAAGCAGCACAAATAGAGCATTGGTCCATTCAGTGAAAGCATTTAAAAAACTTAACCTACCAACAAGTATTTTGAAAACTCACCATAACCAGCAAGAAGAGCTAAGACTAGATTTCCATCCATTGGGTACGGCAGGAAACCTTCAGCAGTAGAAATTCATAGAATCATTAAGGTTGGAACCACTAATCTTAGCCCACATCAACCCGTCGCCACCACTAAACCATAGTCCTCAAATTCAGTTGCTTAAGAAAATTTTCCAATAGTTTAATGCCTTCAGGAGGAGCTTTCTTGTAATCACTATTATGAATGATTCCTTCTCCATTTTAGCTTGTGGGGGAAAAAAAAAAAATAATCTAAAACTGGTAAACCGAAGACTGAAGAGGAAGACAACCCTAAAATAACACTGAAAGAAAGGTTTCAACCTGAGCACCAGGAGCACACCAGGAGAAGTCTCGTATGGCAGTGAAATTAGCCTGCTGCAACAGGTTATAAAGCAATGTGGCTATAAAGATAATTGACGACAGAATGCCTCAGGGCTTCCTGGACTAATTTCTCCCCAGGGAAACAGATGGAACATTTGCACCTCTCATCAATCATCAAAACTCTGAGATCTTTGAGGTATCAGGAGGGAAATTGTACATCTTTATGGAGCTGGGGGTAAAGGGAGACCTCCTGGGCCATGTCAAGCTGACAGAAGCTGTGAAAGAGAACTTTGCTCGTTTTAAGTTCCAGCAGTTGGCTCCTGCCATCAAGCACTGCCATGACTTAAACATAGCTAACAGAGACCTGAAATCTGCACATATCCTTCCCAAAGAACATTTAAACGTCAAGATGTCAGGCTTGACTTCTCCAAACATTTGTCTCAGGGTGAAAAGGGAAGATCTATTCTCAGCAAAACCTTCTGTGGGCAAACGCAGCCCCTCAAGTGCTGCAGGACATTCCTTGCAACCCCAGGATTTCTGACATCTGGAGCCTGGGTCATTTTGCACACAATGGTCTATGCATTAATGCCTTTTAGTGATTCTAATGTCAGAAAAATTATGTGTACTCAGAAATAATACAAGACTGACTTCCACACATCAAAATACCTGACTAAAGACTGTGAGGACCTTATTTTCCACTTGCTTCAGCCTGACACATCTCAGAGATTGTATGTAAATGAAGTTTTTGAGATACTTGTGGTTCCAAACTCCTAAATCCCAAATCCCTACCCCCTCTGCCCACTGCACAAGAGGGTGAGTGTCCCCAAAAACTGCAGGGGAAAAGCCTGAGCATGATCAGCAAGCCAAAACTTCTTTCTGTGGGATGGAAAGGTGGGGTGAAGGAAATCAGATACTCTTAAAAATTGATCCAGCTTGTGAACTGCTGGTTTTCAACTTCAACTACCCCCAGTCCTTTCAGAAATAGTCATCTTTTGCTTTACAAAGTCCATCTACTGAGCTGAATGAACAACCATCTCTGATATGGTTTGCAATAACCAGGAGTTTTGGTCAAAAGCACAAAGGAAAGCTTTCTTTGGAGTCACAGTGCTGTTCACACTCAAGCTTCTGTTACACCAGCTGCAGAACACAATAAGTAAGATTGCAGGTTATTAGGAAGTGTGAATTGACATCTGGAACTGGGCACATTTTTTCACAACGTAAGATTTCTTTTGACAAGTCCACCATGCACTGGGAAGCACCAGTTTAAAATTCACTTGCATTAAAGAGATGTCCCCTACAACCATGAGTGACAGAGATGTGTATATATATATATGTATATAAGGGTTAGGGGTCTGGAGCATCTCCTGCACAAGAAAAGGCTGAGAGACCTGAGATCTCTTTGGTCTGGAGATGAGAAGGCTGAGAAGGGAAGAATTTCTTTACTGTCAAGACAGCACTAGAACAGTCTGCACAGAGAGGTGGTGGAGACTCCCTCTCTAGAGATACTCAAGTCTCACCAGGACGTGGCCCTGTGCAATTTACTGTAGGGAAACTGCTTTAGCTGGGGAGTTGTAGTCTATGATCTCTAGATGTCCCTTCTAACCCCTACAGTTCTGTGACTCTCTGATATCCTCTCTTCTGTAAAGGATGAGACCAAAAATGTTTGACAAGCAAGAGTAAAATCCAGTTCAACCTTTTAGGAAGGCTTAACATATTTTATAAATAGACATATTTGTATAGAAATGTATTCAAACACATGGCCATCTGAAAAAAAGAGATATTTCAAAAATTATCACTGTTTGAGCTAAGAGTCCAGATTCTTCTTTGCCACTGCAGGAAGCATCCTTATGATACAGCTGTGTAACATATCCATGCAGTTCAAAGGGAAGTTATACCACAGCAAGAGACACTTGTCTTCCATAAAGCACATCACAAGCTATTTCAGCTACATAGTCTAGATTTGGTCCCGGATCTAATAACTGCTGGCTTCCACTCTGGCAGCTGAATCTAGATACCTCTTACTACTGATGGTTCAAAACATCCACGTTGCAGACAGCTGAGCATGGGCTGTTCACTGTTGACTTGCTGATGACAAGAATATTTAGAAGAAATCAGATGCCTTCCTTCTTTTAGGAAGCTGTAGTAAATTATCTGTGATTGATGTAGTATCTTGAGATACTGGTGTCTGAGATACTGTCCTAGACTGTGGGGTGGTCGTGGGTGTTTGGGGCCCATTTGCTGGTGTCTTGTAACCAGGAGTTCCTGTGTGGGCTGGAGAAGGAGTATAGCTGGCCCGCAGGGCTTTGTCGGTGTATTTACTTGCAGTCCTGTTTACCAGTCGTTGCAAAGCTGGTGACATTGCTGGGCTTAATCCTTTTGGAGTGAGGCTGGAATAGAAAAGACGCTTTTAAAGACCTTACAGTAAAATTTTTTTTTATCAGGAATGCTATCAATGCTTCCACAGGAGAACCTGGTGTCCGCTTTCTCCACTGACCAGGCCCATTGGCAGAAGTCCTTTTGCCTGCAAGTAAATGCAGCCTGATCCTCTAGAGAGAGAAGTAACAGAGAAACATCTAACATCCCTCCTTAACATAAACTGCACTGCCTGCTTATTTCCTTTGAGCCTGTGCCGTCCTTCCTGTGAGCCAGCCAAGCATGCTGCATCAGGTCTCATCTACTTGCAGTGAAGCAAGACACTGATCCAGATGCACCGCTTGGGTAGCATAGGGCAGAACAGTAATGCTCACAAGAGGGAGTACCAGGAACAATCACCACCCCCCTTCCCTTGGTGTGTTCTTTTACGTCTAAAAATGTTTCCAGCACTTTCCTCATTCCTCCCTTTCTGCATATATTGATTTAAATCTCATCAGATTTCACCCCCAGTTCCTCCATCACAACAGAAGTCTCACCTGGCCAAGTTTTCTGTGACTTTTCGAAGTGCCTCCTGCTTCTTTGCTCGATTTTTAGCTGCCACTTCATTGGCCATCTTGAGTCCTAACCTCTCTCGACGTCCAGGCTCCAGGATCTATAAATACATCACACACTTTACCTGCCAAGGCAGTAGGTATGAGCGCTGTATAAATGAAACAAAGCACTTCCATGGTTGGATTGCAGCTGACAACAATCTAAACTGGGGAGGAGTGGGATCAGCCCACTCTTCTCTTCTGCTACATAAAAGCAAGAGAGGACATAGAGAGATTTTCAACTTGCCTTTGCAAGTAACAAATATGGTAGAACCAGTTCAGTCAAGGAAGCAGCCATTACATCTGGCATTTCCTCCTGCTGTCTCTCATAGACAAACAATGTCACCTGTGTCTTGCCTAGCCCTGGCCCATGGCCAGCCAGCTCTCAGGCAAACAAAGGCATTGCTAAACAGCAGGAAAACCAGACAACAACTTCAAAGTCTGACAAAACAGATGCACACACAGAAAATCACTCTTTTCTTAAACTAAGAATCTCAGACAACTCACATTCAATGATACCAGCAGGAGACAGGTTGCACACAGGGTCAAGCGTCATTAACAAAGTCAGTGTACCTTTCCAACCTTTAAGTGATGCAGCTGCCTCAGACTTGGGAAATATTATGATTTCTACCCATTCCTACATTAAAATCAAGGAAACCAGGCACCTCTTCAGCTTTCTCCAAAAGCCCCTTTGTCTAGGCCTATCACCAAGCTTCAAGTCTCACTGTCGCCAGCTGTGCATTGCACCTGAGATATCTGCACTAAGTAGCTTTCATGTGGGGCCATGTCCATCTCCACCCTCCAAGCAGAACACAGGTTATTAGTCTCAAGGACTGGGAACGCAGCCCAGAGATGTGTCACACATCCCACAACAATGCTAATCTATTAGTTACTCACTTGTCTTTCCCTTCTTAGCCCATGTCCCCTCTGCCCCAAAGAATGACACGTTGACTCCTATGAAATACCTTGAAGGCTGGTCCAGGTGTGCGATCCACATACGGTGTTTCTGATCCATCTAGACGTAAAGGGGTGGTTTCTATTTCACCCCATGTCATAAAAGGAGACTCATTCACACCTGAAAATAAATTTTAAAAGTCGTACTCAAGGTATTTAACTATTTGGTCAGCAAAAACAAAACAAAAACAACACAGAATCCACCCACAGAGAACCATATTATGAAATGTAGCAAACTCAAGACACAACTGAGCCCTGCTACAGCCTGTGCTGAAAAGTAACACGTCGTTCCCATTACAAAGACATGATCTTAAACACCAGGTACTGCTGTGGCTGTGTCACCCTCCAGCTTACAAAGCCCAACCTGATCTTTCCATGTGTATATTTTTCCACTGGTATGCTTTTGCTTAGTGAAACTTTCATTTTCTAATTCTACAGTACAATCTTCCCCTTTGATACTGTATGAAAATTCCTTCAATACGCGGAACTATTTAAAAGCAAGGAAATGATAGAAGACTTAAGACATGGAATAACCAAATGTCTGTGTCAAACAATGACTACACCTTGCCTAACAGCTACAATTACAGAATAGATTCTAAGATTAAGTCACTGGCTAGAAAATCTGGCTGTCCACTGTTTGGAAAAGGCATTTTCACTGATGAAAAGAGGTGCATTCCATATGCCACCTACAGGCTTCTCAGAGGAAAAGTCTCACTACGTTCACATTTTAAGAGGGATAAAAAAAAAGACAAGGAAAACCATGTTGGTGAGGAGCAGCTACAAATTCAAACACCGTATCTGAACTAGAAGAAAAATAATCAGAGCGTTCTAACTGAAAGCATCCTGAAGCCAGTACATCTGAACAAAATGGAACTGTGACACACAAGCAGATTTAGATGAAAAGAGGAAAACAGCCATAAAGAAACCTCTTACCAGGGGCAGGAGAGGGAGTAGTCACAAATCCATATCCATTCACTTTTGGAGACTCCTGGGGTATCAGCTCTTTCCCATCTGGTCCTACTTTCCCCTGTTTGTACTGAAATAATAAAAACAGTGTCATTCATCAACTTCTAGAGAAAGATGCCAGCTATCTATATCCAGCACACACACATCATCAACAATTATGTTGTTTTAAAGGCCTTTGACCAGAAGCAACAAAATTATCCAACCTGAGCATTGAGGGCTGCAGCTTGCTGGAGCTGTGATTTGCTCAAGGCTTGGCTAAATGGATCTTTCACAAAACGAGTGTTCCGATGGACAACTTCCCTGGGCTTCTTAAACGTGTCCTCCTCATCAGGTACACCTTGAAATGCAGAAAGTCTTTGTGAAAGGGCTCAGCTATAACATGATAGAATTTCCTACAGCAACCAAGCGACCACAAAACCAAAGCAGCGCTCTTTGAGCAGAAGCAGCAAATGACTGAAGATAATGAGTGCTTAAGAATAAGATGAAACAAACCAGAAATATTTATGGCTCCTAAAAACAAATGCTTGTTCAGTGACAGAACACAATCCAGCTTTGCAATCAGAGGCAATGAAGCAAGATCTCAAGAATGATGCAGGATGGGTGGAGAAGACTCTTAGAACAGCTGCACATCTCTGAGCTACACAGAAGAAACAGTGCAGTAGCACCAGTAAGAGCTGTTCTGTCAGAAGGGGGATAAGCACTGTCTGGAGCCAACAAACCTAGACAGATCGCCCTCCTGCGACTTGCATGCCTCACCTGTTGGATAATACATGAGGGTGTTTCTAGCAGTGTACTCCCAGGTCTCCAGCCCAGCTTTCACATTCTCCAGGGCTTGCTGCTCTGCTGAAGGAAGTGCCAGGTTTTCATTTCGTCTCTGAAAGGACAAGAGAAGAAAAAATTAGGACTGAAAACATACTCCTGCAATCTTTTCATCAAGCATGCACCACTTGCAAGAGCTAAATCACAAGCTCAGCTACAAGTCCTAATGTACTTAGCATCTGCAAAGCACGAGCTCCCTCCTTCTGGCAACTGGCATCTGAGAAACCATCCTGTGCCCATAGGATAGCTTACAAAACCCTGTATGAGCTCTTGTATAAAATCAAGTGAGCACCATAGACTTAAAAAATTCACAAGGATTACGTATCTATTTGTTACACCTTCTGACAACACTAATGATGATTCAAACAGCTTTCGTTTTTTTCCATCTACTAATCAAAATTAAGTTGAATGCTTCACCAGAAAAAAGAGAATAGCAAGATCTGCCATGTATCTCATACAAAGGCAGTCTTCAAAACTAAAGTGAGTAGCCTTGAAAGAATCTTTCTACCATTCTACCATACCAGAAAATGTATTAGCTGATACAAGCAGCAAGAAAAGAGCAGAAGCTTTTTCTATACTATTAATCGGAGGGTTTTCAAACTTTTCCATAAGAATACAGGTATGTAAGCATTTGGCAGAGTCTGAACAAAACAGATGGTAAGAAAATACACCATTTAATTAAACAGGAAAGAAATACAGTAAAAGGGCATTTCCCTCTTGTGTCATTTTGGAAGTGCAGAGAAACACTGGAGCCATTTCCCTACCTGGGCATACTCCTCTTCCGCACTGTACAGCCAAGCATGCTTGACTTTCTCCTTCTCCTTGGCCACTTCCATGATCTGCTCAAATGAAGCATTATCTTCACTCGTGTGTTTTGCTAAGAAACTGTCCAGATTGGGAAGAGCATCTTTATCATCTTTTTCTGCTTCTCCTAATAAGAAGAGGGAAGAAGTTTGACGTAGGTTAATATCTCCCTTTTTGTAAGAGACACAAGCCTTAGTTCCTTCTGTGAGTAGCCCTCTACTGACTCACTAATAATTAAACTTAGTGGGAAAAAAAAAGAAGTGTACACATGCAGAAAGACACAACTTCAGAAAACATAACCAACTTTCAAAGAAAGGCTTTCACTACATTTATAGCTACTCCTGTTAAAGGAAAACACACAAGTGCCCAGACGCCAGCAGACATTTCTAACATGCCACACGAATATCTATGCCTCTGCTATCTTTGCTTACTGACCCCAATTTCAGGTGACACAGGAGAAATTTACTATTTTCCAACAAATTCAATGCATTAGGAAGTCATACTGCCTTAAAGAGATCTATAATTGAAAATTCACACAATTTCAGATTGATTATTTTCACTTACTAGAAGGTTAAAAGAAATTGCTTAAACATTGGCTAACGTTTAACCTTCACCAGGGGACAGAGTTCACAAGCATACTTTCGTGCTGCTGAGGAATTTAGCGACAGAAACATTATTCTCCTACCTTCCTCTGCAGCTCGAGTGCCAGCTCTGGATTTATTTCCCAGAGGGAGACCACCTGGATGCACTTCTGGGGTTTCAAACGTGGCTGGGGTAACATCTGTGACCAAAGAAAAATGTTCGCATGGTTACCAGAGCACAGAACTGAACACTTGCCATAACATTCTGCATCACAGGTCAGGTACCAAACATGAATCACAGAAGACAAATCACAAGAAGAACAATGTCATTAAAAAGTTGTAAAAAGGCTATAAAACATTCTTTTCAATATGGCTCCCATTCAACAAACAACATCTCTCATCTGAGACATTCCCATGCTGAGAAAAATTCACAGGAGAGTCACAGGTGTACAAATTTGCTGTAGCAATGTGAGCTTAACAACCTTAACACAGCTCAGTGTTTTCTCCCACAGCAGGGGAGGAAAGGAATTCACCATGTGAGATGTGTCCTTTTGCTATGAGAAAGCTGCTTAGCTAAACTGCCCACGAGCTCAGTGAGGCACAGGCCTTCAGCACAAAAAATTCCCAAACTCAAAGTGAAAACAAACACACAACTGAGCCTCTGATGTTTGCTGCATTAACCTTGGGCTGTCATGAGCTTTCCATGCCTTCCACCCCAAAAACTGTAATGATGATTTAGTACATAGCCTAAAGCTTCTCACAGTACAGTGTTGTAAGGTACAGCATGTGATCTTTGCTAATAAACAGGAGCTTGACAAAATTTGTCTGACACAGTTACCACGCTGCTTTTTTTTCTCCAGAAGGAATTATTGGACACTATCAAAGAGAAATATTACATCAGTCATCAGATACTGACTACTGCCCAGTCTGCCATACTAATTCCCATGCAATGTAAATCTGTTGTATGACATTAGATAAGAGCAATAACATTAAATACAAAGCTTTTTACCTTAAAAAACCCAAACAAATAAATAAAAAGCTGAAGACCATTTCTCTCTCTTGCATAGCCTACGGCATACGAAATGACAAAGCATAACGTCATTTTTCTGTTTTGTTTTGTAGAAATCATCTATAATATCAGTTTAAACGTTAAAACAGCCATGGTGAGATGGTTCTTACATGGCACAGGTGTGTCCCGCGATGATTTGCCCAAGGAGGAGCCAAATTTAATAGCGATTTGCCTCATTTTCTCCAAGTCACCATTTTCCTCAGCTTCCAGATACTCCTTTTGCGCCCGTAACTTCTCCACGTCGGGAAAGAAATCGCGCTGAATAATATTCTCTAAACTCTGCAAACAGAAAATCGCACGAACGTGTCAGGACCCCTCGCTGTCCCCAGCCGTTCAGGACGGGCCGGGCCGCGAGCGGCAGCGGTGACACGGAGCGGGGCGTCCCGGGCCCGCCGCCCACCTCGATGTAAGCATCCTCATCCAGGATCTTCTTCGGACGCTTGGCGGCCGGTCGGACGGTCTCCCTGCTCCTGACCACGGCGCCGGCCTCGGCGGCGACGGGCACCAAAGCTCCGGAGGAAGGCGCAGGAACGGCCGCCATGACGCCTTGACCCTCCTCGGCCACCGTCGCAGACGCGACGTGACGTGACGTCATAATAACGCGACAAAGAGTTGGAGAGCTTTTTCCGGGAGAGGCGCAGGGAGCCGCTGTCAGCGCGCCCCCTTGCGGCTGGGAGGAGCGGACCGGGCCCCCGGCGCCCCGATGACGGCGACGCCGGGGCAGCGGAGTCGCGGCGGGGCCTGGGGGGCGCGGGCGGGGCTCGACAGCTCCGTAGGTGTGTATGTGGTGAGGGATGCGGGTCTTTGCCCGCGCAAGGGGCACAGGCATGGCCGGCATTGCTTGGGGCGAGGCACCTCGTCCTGGGAGCCCCGAAGAGATGCTCTAAGCCACGGAGTGCTGAGAACAGCCTTCATTGGCACGTGTTCATAAAGCAGAGCTGACACAAACACAAGCAGTGCAGCCCGGGGATCCCGGCCGGGGCTCACGTGCACAGCACAGGCACGGTCCCCACACCACCTGTCAGCTTCGTGCTCGCTTCAGCATCTGAGGGCCACATCACTTCAACAGGGCTCAGCACACAGGCCGGGTTTCGGAGGAGCCCCGCCTGCGTTCACCCATCCCGCCCTCTGAAGCCCGGCCCCGCTGCTCCCCTCCCGCAGGGCCGTTAGCAGCTCTCCTTGGGCGGCTCTGCGCTGCCCTGAAGGACCATTGCCGAGGCAGATGCTCTCTTCTGATGCCTCCACTTGGCTCGACGGTTCTTAAACCAGACCTGGAAAGTGTAAAATGAGAAAAGAACGTCTGCATTGTGTTGGTTAGGCAGGAATACCCTCGGGCTGTGCAGAGTGGCACTAGGGTATCATAGAATCGCAGAAAGATTTGGGGTTGGTGGGACATCAAAGATCACTTAGTTCCAACCCACCAGCTGCAGACAGGGTTGCCACACTAAATCAGGTTGCCCAGGGCCCCATCCAGCCTGGCCTTGAACAGGAATGGGACTTCCATAGCCTCTCTGGGCAGCCTTTGGGCAGACAAAAATCCCCCTGACATTTCATCTACATTTAATCAAATACCCAAAATACCAAGAATGTTTTTTACAACAAGACTCTGAACTCTAGCTCTGCAGCTCCCCAGAAAGACAGTACCGTGCCCCAGTTTGTGTTCTCCTGGAGTTACAGTGAGCAGAAGGGAGAAAGCTCCTCCCAGCACCTCACCTCCACCCTCTCCTCCTTCAGGTGGATGCGGTTGGCCAAGTGCTCCCTGGTGATGACGTCCGGGTATTGGTTCTGGTGGAAAAGTGTTTCCAGGGCCTGCAGCTGCTCCTCGGTGAAAATGGTGCGATGGCGGCGCGTCCTGCGCTGGATCTGCTGGAAGGCCTGCAGCTCGCTGGGGCTGCCCTGAGGGCTCTTGCAGCCTCTGACCGCCGAGTGGAGCAGTCGCATGGGCCAAGGGAACCTGGTGTCTGCAAGGAGGGGGACGGTCAGCTCTGGGGGTGAGCAGCTGAAATACAGTGGCATCGAGCACTGTCTGCATCTGCACTCATTGCGTGGATGGAGTACAGCTCGCATGGGTGAAAGATGTATGATCACAGTGCAAGCAGGAGAAGGGCCCAGAGTGTCACTTGGAAAGAAGCATATAGGTGGGGAGCACTAGTGTTGTTCTCTTTGTTCACTTACCTTTGATGCTGTGGGCAAGCTCCAGAAAATGACTTGGAAACTTAACAGCATGGTTAGGAGTTATTTTTCCATCATAACACGGAGTATTTCTGAACTTTCAGGATGCTTTTGAACCAGAAATTAAGGTTTTCTATTTTTCTTTTATTTTCTTTTGCTAAATGCATCCACTTTGCTACATGTGGATTTGCTAGATTTTTGCTAGAGCAAAAAAATCCTCCCGCCTTTCCCTGAAAGGACAAGTGAGATTCCCAAGAGCGGGTGGTGCAAAGGAGCTCTGTCAGCATGACCATGGAGCCCATGCTCTCTGCAGAGCTCCTATCCTGAACTGCCACTCTGTGTGCTTTACCATAAAGCAGCAATACTTGGTAACAAAAAGCACCTGCTGATTTCAAACCCTGGTGAGGGTGCCAGCTTTCAGAAGCCCTGCTAACAGCAGACTCAGCAGCTCCTCACCAGAGCTGAGGTCAGAGAAAAGCACCCAGCACTGTGGCAGGTTGGACACTGCACTGTCACCCAGCAAACAAACTGCAGCACGCAGAGCCCCAGTCACTCACCCAGCCAACCTGGAGGGTCCTGCAGAGGCCGTGTGCCCGTGTGGGAGCAGCAGCAGCAGCTACAAGCCGCACCTTCCAGCTCTTCTTCCTCCTCCTCGTCCTCTTCCTCCTGCAGGGCAATGCCCTCCAGCTCACACAGCCCCTTGGGTGCACAGTCCAGGATGCTCTGGAGGCAGAGTGGAACCAGAACCTGGGGGCTCCTCTCTGCCGGGCTGGCGAGGATGTTCTCAATGCTGAAGGAGCACTGCACAGCTCTCCTGCCTGAGCTGGCATCCAGCGTGGGCTCTGCAGACATCCTTGGCTGGGCCGGTGGTAGTAGAAGCTCACACTGAGCAGGGTCTGCTCTCTGCAGGGTCTTGCAGTGTTAAGGAGCCCTGAAAGCAGAGCAGTGAGGCTGCCCAGAATCCCTGCGCTGTCCCAGAGTTTCAAGTGACGGTCATTCTGGCAGCAGAGTTTTTATTTTATACACACACACACTTTTCCTCCCTCTAACCTGGCTGCTTTATGCCTGAAGCCACCCTATATATAGAGAGAGATATAATCCCTTTGGAAAGAAAACCATAAACCCCCTTGTGAATAAAATAAATTCTAACTAATCTTGGCTTTGTGAAGGGTTAGTGTGGATCTAAGATTTAGCTAATCCCACAAAAATGACTCAAGAAGGAAATCTGATTTCTCCATCTCAGGTGTAGATTTGAGGTGGTTATGATCTCCATTGTGCCGAAGCCTCCGGTGCAGGGCAGGGGGAGGACAGCCATCCCCAGCACAGAAATGGACTGGAGGATTAACTCCTTACAAGAAGCAAATTATCCCTTTCTCTGGCCAAATGAAAGCTTTCCCATCAAAAGAGAGCTGTCATATCATACAATATGAGAGAGAAGAGAGCTCAGCTTAATAAAAGGTCATTTTTAATGAGAGCACAGCCTTTAGCTGCACCAGAACTCTCTGCAAAAGTTGTCTTATTTTCTGCTGAAAGCAGAGAAATTGTATTTTCTCTTCTTTTTTCCCCCACCTTCATTGCCATAATCAGAACAGTAATACAGATGCTTCACATCTAGCATGCTCTTGGTAAGGATTCAAATCCCTTAATAAATTAGATGATGGCCATTCACAGCATGTTGGTGGCCTGGCTTGGCGGTACAGATCAGTGGCACATCTCGGTGGCACGCAAGCACTTCTCTCTCAGCTGCCCGTGGGGAGGCATGTTGGATGTGTCCTGCTCGCAGTGTGGAGAGGACGTGGCACCAGGACTGAACACTCCCTGGGAATCACCATGGAAGGGATGGGTGCCCGCACTGAGCCCAGCAGCCTGGGGACAAAGTCTTGCAGGAGAGGGCTGAGCTCAGGTTGCTTAGACCCGAGTTCTCTTGCCCTGTAGAGCTGTGCAAGCCAAGGTCTGCAGCAAGGTGCAGGAAACCCACCTGGTGAATGGTGCTGCTGGGTGCTGTGGGCAGGGCAGTGTGGTGCCAGCGACACAGGAGTGAGAGCTGTGAAACTGCTGTGCATTAAATGTCAGCAGTTTTTCTTCCATCCCTCTATTTTGCTTCTCTTTTGGCTATTGAATTTGTAACATAAATTATCACCAATTCAATAGAAGGGGAAAAGCCCCTTGTAGCCTGCTGGTACCCACCCCCAGCTCCCAGCCCTGGCATGAGTACAGTGTGGGGCCAGGTCCTGCTCCCCAAATCAGACCCGTTCTGCTCTCAGCTGTACTAATCATACGGCTGAAGCAGATTAATCCCTGTTCCCCATCCTTCACAAAGGGCCTTTCCCCGCTCCCTGCCCATCCCTGCCTATTAGTGCCTTCGCTGATTGCTTTTTTTCCATTTCTCCCATACCTTTCACTTCAGAAAATGGACCGGTAATGCTTCTTTTATCAAAGAATTATATGATTTAGGATCCAGATCTTACAAAGGAGACTTTTGATAGCTGCTGTAATCAATCCCAATCGGCAGACACCTCTCTGCCCCCTGTTACCGGAGAGGAATAAAGGAAGGGATTACCGATGTTGTGTTTACAGCAGCTGTGGGCGATAGGATCTGGGCCATTTCGTGTTAGAAAAGGAAGGGAAAATAAAACAAGAAGGAAAAAAAAATGCAGACAAGGAAGGACAATATAGATATAGATAAAAAGAAAAGAAACGGGCTCTTATCATTTCCTTATTGGTTAAGGAGATTCCAAAGCCATTATAGAAGATTAGCAAAAAGGTTAATCTGCTTTAGCCGCTCGCTTGTCAAAAGTGAATTTCTAGGGTTTGAAAATCCTAGGGGGAAACGGCAGAAATCCCCTCCCGCTCCCTGCAGGCACGGGCCGCGCTCTGAAGGTCCCCGAGCTCAGGATCCGGCGCCGCGGGATGGAGCTCCGCCGCTCAGCGCTAGGGGGCGCTGCGGCGCGGCTGCGTGCCCCGGGGCCGCCTCTCCGCCCGCTCCGCGCCATGGGTGCCGAGCGGGAGGCGCGGGCCTGCGCCGCGTTCTACGGAGATGCGGGGCGGTGCGGGCCGGGCCCCGCCGCGCTGTGCTGCGTGCGATGCCTGCGGCAGTTCGCGGGGTGAGCGGGGCCGGGCCGGGCGGCTGGAGCGCGGGTTGGGCTACGGCGCTTCGGGGGGAAGGGGAGCCCATGGTGGGGCGCTTTTCCCCGCGTTTGTTATGCGGGCTGCGGGTGGGGGAGATGGGAGCGTGGCAACCACGTGGAGCTGCGGCACTCCTAGCTGAGTTCAAGTCGAGTCTGGGTATCCGTACCACAACAAGCTGGGTCACCTCCTGTGCATCCCCAATGGAGGTGGAGCAGCCCTCGCCCAACTCACCCCAACCGCATTAAGCAGGGGCACCCCCAGCACAACCCTCCTGCAGCCCAGGTATCCCCACCCCAACCCCTTCCGAGCTTGGGCACTCCAGCTCTAACAAGTTGGGATGCACCCGTGCTAAGCTCCATTCCACCAAGGTATTCCCACGGCAAACCAGCCCGGTGCACCCCACCTCGTCTCCATCCCATTGCAGGAGCACAGCCAAGCGGTGCCGGGACAAGCATCTGGAGGAGGCCCTGCAGCTGGCACGGGAGTTGGGGGAGGAGCTGCGGGCGCTGGGCGAGATGGAGGTGCGACCACTGCTGCGCTGTGTCCTGGCCTTCCAGCTGGAGGCAGCGGGCAGCTCCAGCGCCTTCCAGAAGCTGGAACAGGTCCGTAACGGTCCCCTATGAGTGATCCTTAGGGTCCTTCTGGGGCTGAGTGGGGGTCTCTCAGCAGATTGTGACCCAGCTGGCCGTGGGCCATGAGGCTGTGCTGGCACAGGAGGTGGGCACGCTGCTGGCTGGGCTGACACCGCACGGAGAGGTGAGAACAGCTGGCATGTGGATGCCACTGTGCCCCCAGTCCCCTGCCTTTGGGGTCACTGTGGAAGGGAGCTGATTACGGGAGCTTTGGAGGCGATTCTGCCCCATGCATTGTGTGGGGTGTGAAGGGTGCCTGTCCCTCTGCCCCCCAGGTGCTGTCCTCTGAGGACCTTCAGGCAGGTCAGTTGCTACTCTTTGACCCCTTGCCCATCCCTGGGAGGGACACGGATGACACTGTCCCCCTCCTGCAGTATGCATGTTCATAGAGGAGAGCAGCCTGGGACGTCACCACTGGCAGCAGAACCTGGCCCCACTCCTGCAGCACCTCGCCCGCACCCTGAGCTGCGTGTTGCAGGGCCAAGCAGCGCCAAGTGGCACCTGGAGCTGCCTGGCTGTCAAGGTGGGAGCTTGCCTCAGGAAAGCATGCATGTTTTTTGGAGGTGAGCAGTGCTGGAGGCCATCCTCACTGTCCCCTCCATTCCTCCAGGCCTGCCTCCAGCTCTTCCAGATGATGCCAAAGGATGTGGCCCCACTGGTGTGGAGTGCAGCAGCAAAGAATGAAGCCCTGCAGCGCATCCTGGGGCTGCTGCTGGAGGCAGTGGCAGGGAAGGTGCGTGCGGTCCTGGTGCTGCAGGGGCAACTGATGTCCCCAGTGGAACATTAGAGCATCAGAGGGTGCTCTGTAGTTGCCCACATAATGCATAGAGGCTAGATATGTGCATTTGTTTTCTGTGTCCAGGCCCTGAGCAAGGATGTGCGGCTGCTGGCAGGCACGGCACTCAGCATGCTGCTGAATACAGCCCCACAGCCTGAGAGCGGGGCCAGAGCTGCACTCGCCCTGTTCCAGCTCGTGGACAGAGGTGTGTGCTACGATGGCACTGGGAAGAGCCTCAGCAAAGGGACTGAAAGGGGACAGGACGCTCACCGTCAGTCAGAGTTCTGCTGCTGTGTCCACTCTCAGGGGCCACTGAGTGGATGGATGGTGGAGTTTGGTTCTCTGTCCCATTTAATGCAGCCATTTCCCAGCAGGTGCAGGGGAGCTGAGAGTTGGGGAGCTGATGGTGGAGGCTCACAGCATCCCAGAGTCAGATGGGCTGGAGAGGCTGGTGCTGAGCAGGGGACTGCTGACATGCTGCCGTGCGGACATCCTCTGCAGCCAGCTGGAGGGCAGCACCTGCCAGGTATGATGGCTTAGTCCAGGGTCAGAGCCCCTCACCCAGCAGTGGGAGTCTGGGGTAAAGTCACTCCTGACACAGCAACCTGCTCTGCATCAGGCAGCAAAAGCTGAGCTGCTCTCCCGGAGCTGAGGGCTGCTAGGCAGGCATAGAAAGCTCACATGGATGCCAAACTTTCTCCTGTTTTGTACTGAGGCTTTTTTCCCCTGGAAGTCCCCATCTGCCTGCTCACTGACCACTCTGCTTCTGCAGGCCTGCCTGCTGCTGGATGTGCTCTTTCCCACCGTGTGCACCCTGAGCAAGGAGCAGAAGGACTGCCACTACCACTGCTTCCAAGGTAGGAGACAAACCTGCTGGTGGGGCTGCCAGTGCTGCTCCAGTCCATAGAATGCCATCCCCCCTGGGCTGTATCTGTCTGGGCTGATGGCTCCCTGAGCCCCACAGCCCAGCTGAGCTCAGCATTGGGGCCTGTCCACTTCCAGTGCTGGTGCTGTGGCTGCGGCGTGTCCAGGAGAACCTTCCTGAGCTCTGGCACCTGCAGGGCAGCCGCCTCCTGGCCAAGGATGCCAAGCTGCTGCAGGAGCTCACTCGGCTGTTATGGGACAATGCCGAAGCCCCAGTAAGGTTGGAGTGGGCACCCCCAGCACTGCTGCAATGAGATGAGCCATCTCCTGCCATCCTCGGCTCCCTAACCCGTGGCTGCCTTTTAGAAGTACGTGGCAACAGGGTCTCTTCTAAAGCAGGAATTCAGAAGGGAAACCTTGGTTTTCATCCTTCCCCAGGTGGAAGGTGT